TAGGTTGCTTTTTTTCATCCCACAAATTAAATTACCATTAACAAAATACTCTATATGCATTTATAATTTGATCAAAACTAATTTATTTTCTGTAATGTAGTTCTGCTTTCAATATTATTATAGATGTTACCATGTAAATAGAATATTTGATATCTCATTCTTTTAAATAAAAATTGAATTCAATAATTATTTTATTATTATTATTATAAATTATATAAATTTTATTGAATTATAATAGAAAATTTCCTTCCCTTCGCTTTCATAAACTTCCTCTTAAGAAATGCTTGAGTATATATATCATATCAATCAATGAAATATAAGGAAAGAATGTCATTGAAGGGGAAAGACAGGCACTTCCATTAGAAAAGTACTCGTAAAGGGCAGCCAAAGTATCACAAACAGAGAAAAAAAAAACAACAGAAGAGGTGTGATACCCAGCTGAATACTGGAGAATTTATGCGCCACCCCCTTGAAATTCTATAATATCCTCTTTCTCTATACGAAATATAAGGTAACAAAAATTAAAATATTGTATCTATATAATTAATATTTATTTAAAAAAATTTCCTTTAATTTCTTTTCCTAAGGTTAGAGATCACAAAACATGTCTAACCTTTAATTTACTTTAAAGTTTCACTTGTGATTTCAAGAAAATTTGCACACAGTGAAACTTTAATTTACTTTAAAGTACGTAATAAATCTTTTTTACTATATTATTAAATATTTATATTGTTTTGGCATGTTGCCGTTGGTTAAAAAACTCTAGAAAGATTGATTGAAAAGTCAAACCTTTTCTTAATAAGTTTCTTTTTGTGTAGACTACGTAGTATCTTTCACGCAGGGCAGGTTTTAGAGTATTTGAGGCCTTGAGTAATTGTAGGAGACTGTTCTTTCGGTCATACTAAACCTTATTGGTATATTAGAGTAATAGTGTAAAATATATAATTTAATTAATATTTAAAATTTAGTTTTCTCACTTTTGTAATGTAAATTTAATTGTTAAATTTGTATAAGTTTAAATTTTAAATATTTTGAATAATTAAATAATTAAATTAATCAATCTTTAAAACATATTTGAATTCAAATAAAGTTATGTCAATTTTAATTTTGAGAAGAAATTTTCATTAAAATACACATACAGAAATGCTTGAATTATTATATAAGTTATCTATGTATTTAGAAGGGAAAAAAAACAATAAATTTTTTATGATTCAAAGTAAAAATAACATTTTAAAATAATGTTAGTAAAATCAAATAGCCCAAATATTTTAAACGGTATTTTAATTTTCATATCGTATTTTAAATTTATTATTTAAAAAAATTTAAATTTTTTTAAATTTTTCATAGTTTTACATTTAAATTTACATTTTATTATTTCTTTTAAGAATATATCTTATTAGTTTTAGATTAACTTAAAATTATTTTTGTGTCTCAATTTTATAAAGGTTTAATTTTTATATAAAAATAAATTATAAAAAATAGTACAGAAGAGATAAGAAAATAATTTACTTATAATCTTTTAACTAAATTAAAAATAAAAAACAAGAAGAGTTGTGTGTTATTGGATTTACTTAATTTTAACTACATATTTACTTTAAAGTTAATGGATAAAGTAATTTTTTATAAAATAAAAAATTAAGGAGTTATTTATTATTAAATTAATGTAAAATACCTAATAGTACTAACTCATGACATCCAAAGATATATATATATATATATATATATATATATTAATAATGTTTATATTAACATTTTTTATTTAATTAAGCATAAATTAATAAACATAGACATATCCAATGTCTAACCATTAATATGTAAGACTTTTTTCATCAATTTATTAGCTCAACATTAAAATGTTTGATTTTCAATAATTACTACAAAATTTGTATTTTTTTTCTAATAAATTCGTAATTTTTTTATTATCAAATACTTGTAATCAATTAATGATTTAGAAATACCGGATTTTATTTTTTATATATATAGAAAATTATATGATTACGATATAATATAAGAAATTTATTACATTAATAATATATTAAAATTAAATAAAACAGTTACCTATAACAATGTAAGGACTCCTTAAAAGATTATCAAATAAATGATGTAAACTGTTAAGATTAACAAAGAATATTTTACATTAATAAATGCTGATATAGCAATTCATGTGATCTACAACTTAATTTAAATTATCAAGAATAACACATAATTTACCTAAGCATTTTACACTACACAAAAGTAGACGCAAAAGTCATAACACATTCAAATCTTAAAATATATATATAAAAAATTAATATCTCTATGATAATAAGTAACATAATATAACATATGTTAAAAGTTATTAATAAAATTTACAATCAATTAAAGTATATCTGTATTTAATTAATTTATATATGATTACTGAGTGTGAATTAGAAAGTATCTAAATTGAATTAGAAACAATGTGAATTATATTGGACACCTGTACTTTAACATCCACTAACAATGAATGGGGATCAACCACCAACCACAACCGTTGGATAGTGATAATCCTCGTGATCATTTCAGCTGAGTTGTAAATTTCCTCTGCCGACTACCATCAGACATGATAGCTGCAAATTTAGGCCAACTTGCAACTCACATATCAAAATAAATATTTCTTCACTTTTAAAACAAGACCCTTGTAAATCAATATCTTAGAAGGGGACTCATTCAACATTTAAAAAATAGAAAATTATGTTAAAAATATATTAAATTTTGTAATAATATATTAATAAATAATATATGTTCTTTATAATGGTTTTACTTTTATAGCTTAGTTAGTATTTTCAGATACTGGTTAATATTTTCTTTAAAACAATTGTCATTTTTAATTTAGTGTAATATTTTAGTTTTTTAATTTATATATATATATATGTCATCTTCAAATATTTCATTATATTCAAAAAAAAGAGTTATGTGAGAAAATAACCATTTTTAAATTACAAATAGTAATAATTATTGAAAATAAATAATATGTTACTTTTAGTTTAATTATTAATCAAATTGTTTTCATTAATTATCTTTACCATCTTAATATCTATTTAATTTTTTTAAAATTTATTTGAGTTTATTTATACATATTAAAAATTTTGAATTTAAATCACATATAACCTTGTACTGTAATTTATTTGGAACTCAATCTTAAAACAACTAGGGTTTCCTACTGCCAACTGTTAAACTCTAGAATTGTAATAGTCAAGAAACAAATTTAATACAAAATATTTACAAGTACGGGCGGAGTATGACAGGTGCGTGTTAATGCAGTTAATCTTTAAGACGGGACTCATGTTTGGGGGTTAAAAGAAGAAGACCTGTCCTGTTGTTATGCCTAATGATTCTTAGAGGCGGCTAAAATTTATTATTTTTTTCGTCTAACCAATAACTGACACATGTCCTAATTTTTAAAGGGTTCTCTCACCAAAATAAATTATTACAGAAAATAATAAATTTATAACAATTCAAATCAAACCAAAAATAAAAAAAGCATAATTTTAGTTCCATATTTTTAAATCTCGTTTATATATATTTTCTCGTTGAAACAATGTTATTGGAATTAAAAATATTCAGAATACAGTAATATTAACTTGTTTTTTATATATAAAATTCAAACTCAAAATTTAACATAAAACATATACTATTTAAATTGATTACTCATTAATTAAAATGAAATTATTTATGTAGCAATTAAATATTTAACAAACGCTTTGATATACTTTTCATTAATCATCTTACCAACATGAATGGCTGATCAGAAGACCCCCTATCCTTTTGATAATGATTCCTGCAAAGGTTGGTGAAATTTTCATTAGTTTTCATTTAACAAATAACTAAAAGAATTTGTAATTTCGATTCATTGAGAGAAATTGTTTTTAAACGTTTAACTCTAATATTTCTTATCACAACATAAAATGGATTTAAATGATATTTTCACAATATTTTTTCACGTTTTTTATTTCTTCATCACTTCGACCAATTTTATCTTACATTTTGTTTCTTCTCTCTCCTTCGTTTCTCTTCTTAATGTAAGTATTGCGATAAAAAAAATTCTTAAAAATAGCATTACTCAATAATTTTAAGGAAAGGAAACACTTTAATTAATCATTTATTATAAAATAAATATTTGACAAATGCTTAGATAACCCTTTTTATACAAGTCATCTTCCCACCTTATTCATGAGTACCAGAACAATCCTTGAAAAGAAAAGCAAATCAGAACGCAATGGGCAATTTGTTCCGCTTCCTTATCCGCAATATACAATGTCCTTGCTGCTGCAAGAAAAAAAATTAAAATAAAATAAAAATTCGTTTATATTTATTTAAGAACAAAATGCTCCCACTGGCATATCATACGTCATAGACCTTTATGCAGGAAACACCTGGCGACACACTATTGGGTCACAAAAGGCACCAGTCACTGTCAAAAACGGAAAAAACCGCGATATTTCGCGCACGAACTCAACATATCGTAACCCAATATATCGTCACATGTCAAATCACGTGGGCCCCACCCAACTTTCAATCATCGCTGTTACCGAAAATTCCATTTTCAAAGTGCACCGAAATGACCATAATACCCCCAAAACACCATCAAATTACTTTACCAGGCCCCTACGGCGCCTTGTCCCATCTCTGACAAAATCATCATCATCACCAAACAAATAACAAAAACCAAAAAACTTCAAATAAAAATCAACGCACCAGAATAAGATGTTTTAGTTCTGCGTAATTAAACTCTTGAATTCGAATAGTGTAAATAAAAAACGAAAATCAGATCCGAAATTATGGTAAATCATCACAATAATTTATCATTTCAAGTTCAAACCAAAAAAGAAAAACATAAAAATTAGAAGAGAAATAAAAAATGAAACGATCAAAGCTTGATCGAACACAAAGGAATTCAGATTCTTCTTCATCTTTTCGGTAACAAATTTCTCTCTCTAAACCTCACACACGCTCTCTCTTAAACTAACTTTTTTTTTCTTCTTCTCTATATATATAATTGAAAAAAAAGTTGAAACACGTGACCCGAACCCGATCGCGAACAAACGGGTCAAATTCGTCGGCGTGAGATTCCGTTTCGGATTTTTCTTCTTTTTCTTCGGATTCGGAGATTTCAGACCTTGACGATCTTCGCGGCTCTGATCACCGGATTCTCTCTGGCTATGGCTTCTCTTCCTGCGGCTTTGTAGTCGTAGCTGCAGTCGTGGCGGTCGGAGTACCGGTGCTCGGCGCAGAAGAGTTCGCCGCACCGGCAGCGAAATCCCGTGAGTCCGACCTTCCGCCGGCAACCGGAGCAGCGGTTGACGACGCGCTTGGCCTCGGACGGGGCGGATTGGTCGGAGGACGGAGGATCGGCGGGCAGCGAGGGCTCTTCCGGGAAGGATCTCTTGGAACAGCGGGAAGAAACGCCGGATCTGGACGACGGCGGCGAGATTCCGGCGGTAGAGGTGGTGGCGGTGGAGGCGGTGAAGCACTTCTGGCACATGTTGTTGGTGGCAGGGTTACCGATAACGCCGCAGTTGTTCACGCAGAGCGTAATGGTTTCAGGAACTTTGAATTCGGTTTCTTCTTTCTCTGTTTTCTGAGCCATGAAAACGGTTAGAAAGGGGTGTGGTTGTGTTTGGTGTTGTTATGGTTATTGTTGTGTTGTGTGTGTGAGAGAGAGATTGAGAGATTGAGAGAGAGCAAAAGAGAGAGAGGAATGAGGGATTTGAAGGTTGTGAGGTCGGTAATGAAATGTCATGGCAAATTGGCAATGGAATATGGGCCTCATAGAGACGCGTCTCAAACTTTTTTTTCTTTCTTTTTTTTCTTTTTTCTTTCATGGCGGATGAAATTACCAACTTGTCCAAGTGGGTGTGGGTTGCAATTTGCCTCTGCCCCCTTTCTTGTCTCACAGGTTTCTGACGTGTTCGTGTCAGTGCATGATCTAAATCATGTGTGTGTCTGTCTTTCACTTTATTACTGTTTTCATTGTTAATATTATTCGGATTCAATTTGTTAGGTTCGGTGGGTTGGACATTACACTCTCTTTTCATTATTATTATTATTATTATTATAGCCAAATTATCTGTAAGCTAAGGCTGTAAATCCTAAGGTTGTTATAATTTTGAATGAAATATTTTTTTATCATGTAACAATAACAAATCCGTCTTTTATAGTAAAAATCAATATGGCAAATTAAATTTTATAGTTCTAAATACTGATCAATTTAGTTTTAAAATTATAAATATTTTCATGTTTTGAAATTATACTAAATAATAATCATTTTAACCCATTATCAAATAATGATCACTTGAATTGATAAAATTATAAAAAATAAAAACTGAAAATAACTGTTAATATTTTAATTTGATTAAATAATTAGTACTAGAATTTTAGAAATGAATTTAATGTATTACTAAAAATAGATCCCATAAAAAAGTAAAATCATTTAACAAGAAAAGTAGTAATCATTAATTTTTTTTCCTTACAAATTATGACATTTTCGTAAGAGTATATTAAAAAATTTGGTCACTAAATTAATTTTTTAAAATCTAAAATACAATTAATTTTTTATTCTAGTTTTTTTTGGTTAAGTTAATCTCTTTTAATTCATCATTAATTTTTAAAAAAATGAGCGTTTATCCCAGAAAGAGTTATCGCATGAATAACATGTCATCTAACAATTTACATGGAATATGTATCAGTAATGTCGTTCGTATCACTGATTAAAGATTCTTGTAGGTATTTCTTTTTGTAATTAGGGTACATTTTCAAAAATATTTTACATAGAAAATAAAATATATAAAACATGAAAATAATAATATACAATGTCATGTATGTTGTTAATTTTTAATAGTTTAAATAACAGAACTCGAGATATGTGCCCACATCAATGTAATGTAAAGTTTGTATAATTTTCATAAAATGCGATCCCAAAATGTATACTAAGGTTCAAACAAAGGGTGGATAAAGATTTTAGATTACAAATTCATACACACGTGAGATCGCAATTTCGTACAAATTTAAGACGCAAGTTTTGCGGTATAATGTATACGTTACATGCAAAGTTGTAGGAAAGTTAGTGTGTTACTAAATGTTTCTTACCTGGTTCATTAGACTATTACCAGATCCCTGTAAGATTTTAAGAAACAAAAAGAACTGTTTTTAGAGAAAGAAAGAAGCATGTGGGGGACATATGAGTGAAAATATATGAACCTAAGAAGCAAAAAATGTATCAGATATGAGTCGATACCTTGATAAAGAAGTGATCCTATTCACTGTTCCGTGCTGGTTGGCAATCACGTACGTAGGCACAAGTTTAATATTGGTCGATATCACAGCTCGCTGTAACAAAGTCCAATGAAGTTTTAGTGGTTTAGTTTTGCTTTCCATCAACCAACAAGCAACTATATGCCCTTTTGCACGCAAAATCTGGATCCAGTTCATCTTCCTTCCCTGTTTCAACTAATCAATCATTTTTTTGTGATTACTGTTATATGTGCAGACCCCTTTTCATTTTCTTATATATCGTTGTCTGTGTAGATTCTTATTCTCCTCATAATAACAACTATTGAAGGTTAAATTAAAATTCCAATCATTATAATTGATGTTTATTTTAATTTAATATTCATACAGAAAAAAGAAACTTTTGGTTTTGTGTGTGTATATATATATATATAAGAGGAAAAATTAAATGAGTCCCGTCATGGACTACTACTATAATCCTACGAATTCATCTTTAATTTTGTGGCTAATAGATTATGATGTGACTCTAATACGTATTTGGATAGCTTATCAAACTAAAATTTTGTCACTTGACATGATGTTGACTTTCAACTTGATCCTTATACACCAAAAAAAAAATTCAAATAGTTTCATACTCATATTGTTAATTAATTTCCTGTCAAGTTTTTGCAGAAGCCCCCAAATTACAAGCTAAAATGGAAAATTGATCCTTAATATGAGCCAACCAGGGACATTGAGGTTATATAAATATTTCACCTCCCAACACAACATTCAACAACGACCCTTTTGACGACAGGAAATAAATTGGTGGTGAAAGTTAATTCTAGAGAATGTAATTTGCTTCATGACCTATAGTTCAACTTCATTGTTGGGGTCATTCCTTTAGTTATCATCATTACTTGCTTGGCTTCTCCTCCATTTAAACTTAGATTGCTTTTGAGTTAAGTTAGAATTTTCCCCAGCCCTTCACCAAGAGAACAATATCATTTAGACATGCATTGTTTCTTGTCATGACACTACCTGAAGAGGTGACACTCCTCAAACATGACCAATAATTATTTATTTGTTCACATGAATGCTGCATGAACTTTTGGATTGAAAATTTATGTTCTTAAAAAATTGGAATTTTTAATATGTGTGATGTGATTACTAATTGATTTGGAGTAATTTTCTTTAGGTCCAACTTTAAAGGTGTTTTGTGACCTTACTTCCATATTTGATGAACTTTAACTCAACCATATAGTTATTCATGCTCAAAGAGCTAGTATTTCGTATACATGAATATTAAAATTCTCTACAATTATGCCATAAGTAATATCTATACTCATAAAGATACTAACATTTATAATTCATACTTACTAAGATTCTCTACAATTATGTTACGTTGGCACACCATGCAAGCTCACTCAAAATATGATTACACATCAACTTTATAGATCTTATAAACCTAGTAACATAATTCTGCGATAAAATATATAATCTATTTTTTATTGTTATTCTATTGTTACAAACACTAACTTAAGCATTAAAATATTATTTATTGTTCCATCCCCAACTTTAGATACCAACTTAATAATGAGCTTAAACTTATTGTTATTAATCTCATCACAAACAGACTTATTACAACTACAATATTTTTTTTTGCTCATAACAACTACAATATTTATAATAATATTAGCAATTATCTTTCATATTCTCATATGTTCCTATCACTTCTCTTACCTTAACTTTTATAATTCTAATAACTCTATACTCAATATTTATTTACAATTTTGAGATTATTTAAATTATTCTATAGAATAAACACCTTCATCCTACGTGAATTGATGATATTTTATTTATAAAAAGTTGTATAATTATAAATATAATATCTTAACTTCACTAATGCATTTAAAATATAATTATTTTATTCTATGAAATAATTTAATCAAACTCTTAACAATATAATTTTAAGCTCAAAAGTTAGCACCTGAGACTTTGATATTATCTATAGTTACAATTACTCTGATAATTTCATGCAAGGTTTCATTATTATGATAAACATGACAAATTCTTTTTACCTCAATTCTTTGCAGTTTATTCCCTTAATTAATTGGAAGTATCAAATTATTTGTATGTACTGGTGGATTTTGCAGACTGCAAAGGACTATGCCAGAATATTTATATTAGCAATTCCTTCTACCGTCCTTTTATTTTAGGGGTTGATCCTCCCCTTATTTGCATGTAATTAGGGAATTCTATAACTTGACTATATTAACAAATGGGGATTGTGAATAATTTTACATGTACAAAATAATTTAAACATTATTTTTATTTAAAGGGACTGATTAAAAATGAGCATCAAACATAGGACAAAAGAATTTAGTATGAAACAGCTATCTAAATACATTTAAAGTCACGTCTTAAGTTTCGTAGGATGAGTAATATTTATGGAGTTATAACAATCGTATGCGATAACGACTCGTGAAAATGATTTCTTGCATTGGGACCAAATCAAAAACAATATTGTGTATAGATACCAGACTGAAAATAAACATTTTGTATAAAGAATAAATTTTAATTTAACCATTATTATATATATATATATAGTACATTTTATTTTTTTAAAATATTGTACAAAATTAACAGTTTTAACTTCAATGAATCACCAATTTGATGTCTTTTATTTTGTGTTTATTTTATACTTTCTTAAGTTTATAAAGTTATCAAGAAAAAAGGAGTTGTCTCTAACCTAAAGGCAGCGTGTTTGTCAAGGACCATGCATCCCAACCAATTTTGTCGGGACCATCAATTTACAAATTGCAATACTAAACCTTAAATGAAGTGTGAAATTTATTTTATTTTAAAATTTGTTGTTATAATTATAAAATTTTAAAAATGGGGCCAAAAGTCAACACAATAAAAGCTTTAAATCTTGATTTGATCAATTTAACCAGTTATAATAATGATTAAGCATCTTATAAAAAGAGTAATGATTTTGCAAAAAGTTTAATTGAATATTATATTAAAGATATATCTAGATACATAGTTTAATTAAGTATTTATTTAAAAATTTTAAATAATTTATGCTATATATTTAAATATAAAATTTATTAAAATAAGTTAAAAATAATTTATTTTAATCAACTATATAAAAAATTATCTAAATAAACTTTAAAAATCCACTACGCCAAAATAAAGATGTTAGAGTGGTTCCATTTTAATTTAAAAAGCTTTTAGAACTACTCTAAAATCTCGCGCTATCTAATATGTTGCACTTTAGAGAGCGGTTAAACAACCACTCTCAAATGTTGATATTAGCGAGCGATTCTACGTGGAACCACTTTCACAAAGTGAATGTCATTTAAAATATATCGCGAATCTGGAATTTAAAATTTCTTTCTTCATGAGTTTTCTATTTCAAACCAAAATTAATTTATTGTTATGCTCAAATTTTCTTCATTTTTATCACAAATCAAAAGTGAAACTTGTTGAGTTTATACGTTGTATTAACCAAACAGTCCACAT